TAATACACTAAACATAAAGCCGCAGCTTATCCTCGATTTATGTAATCTTCTTACAACATTCCTTTTTCCTTTTTAATCTTTTCTTTCTTGACAAATTCCTAGTCAAAAGTTTCTCTATTCCGACACCTCTATACGATTCTTATGTTTGTCAATAAGTTTGAATTACTCTGTATATAATAAGGTATATAGATATGTATATAATTAAATATAGATATATTTTTTGGGATGATACAAAATTTACAAAGACTAAGACACTACAGACGCGCGCTACGCGCGCGCTATTTATCTTTAACATTTCACTATTAATCCTATTATACACAACTGTCAAAATATACAATGACAGCTGCAAATGAAGTAAGCGCAGCAAGAAAACCAATCGGCATCGCGGAAAAGCGGCAACAATAAACTTCACATCTCCTTTTTAGAAAAGGATTGTTCCGTGATCGTGACGTCGTTCTTGTTTTCGGTATTTTGCTCCGATAAGTTCAATTCACGATGATCGTTGTTCTTCTCGCAAGCCTTCTTCGCCTGTTCCAGAAGACTCTGTGCCATCTGATTGCCCGTTTTCTCCACCATTTGCGAGAAGTAGCCTTTTGGTTTGTCGTGCAACAGCTCGTACGGACAACCAAATTCCTGTTGGCGTGAAAATTCTCATTATCAAAAATAACAAATAGGAAACTTTTCTTGAAAAAATTAAAAAATTTTCTACAAAAGTTGGTTAGATTTTATACATATTAGCACTGATTTTTTTTAGGAAAGAACACGTATTGTTCAATAAAATATCAACTTCGAAGAAATCATGTTAAATTAATTTTAAACGAGAATTTTTCGAAAACCTGTAAATTTTCATGGATACGTTGCAATACATTATTTATATAATTTTAACTCCTTCTTCAGACAATTTTAAGTGTAAAAACTCGGACACTGAATGTCCATTTTACGATGGTTTTTCTTCTATATTTTCTACTATGTAAACGTTCTCTTTATCGAGAAACTATTTGTGCCATTAATTATATGATTAGAACAATTATATAAACCAATTTTCTTTGTAGACATTTATAGAGAAAACTACACTTTTTAATTTACGTTTACTAAACATAGTTTCTAATATACATTTTATTAAAGTAAAGATACCTACCACGATGGAGCCGTTCTCCATTACGATAATCCGATTGCTGTCTATAACGGTATTCAAACGATGTGCTATTGTGATGACAGTGCATTCATTAAAATTACTCCTTATTGTGTCCTGAATTAAAGCGTCGGTACTAGAAATAGAAATACACATTTAGAGAAAATTCACAAAATAATTCAAAAACTAATTACAACAGTGTTTTACAGCTACAGAATACAGAACTCTTACTGGAAATCTGATTTAATTCAAAAAGTTTGTTATTCTTCTAAAATCTTGAATTTATTACAAAATAAATACTGATCATTGTAGGTACTTTATCGCACAGTAGAGATACTCAATCGGAAAATTAATACTTTACTAGTAAAAAATTTCAATTACTTATATATGAT